GAAGGCTAAAGGGAGCCCATTGCAGCTCAGGTGTCAGTGAGCTGCATGCATCCCTGATCTTAGTTACAAACCTCTGCTTGTCTTTGACACTCCTGGGTTACTTATCAAAAATATGGACTGCCCTTCATTAAAAATAAATCTTAGGTTTTCTTTGCAAGGGAGTGTCTCTTTACCTGGCATTAACACTGCCTAGAGACTTCTCCCTACTCTGGGTATTTTTATGCCTTCTAAGGACCCTCTTTACCTTGATTGTGGTCTCTGCCTGTGAAATTTAAATACATAAATAATATGCACTGTTTGCCTAGTGTGTTGTTAAAATTTCTTTCTTTCTTTTTTTTTTCTTTAAAAAAAAAAACTTTTTGTTGTTTATTGTTTGTTTGGTTGGCTGGTTGATTTGCTAAGGTTTTGTTTTGTTTGCAGAACTGAGACCGAAACCCAAGGCTTATCCATGCTAAGTTTGCACTCTTCCACACCCCTAACATGCTCATGTTTTGTTTTGGGTTTTGTTTCTGTTTTTTGTTTGTTTGTTTGTTTTTTGCTTTTTGTTTTGTTTTGTTTTGTTTTTGAGGCAGAGTCTTAGGTATCCCAGGCTAGCTCTGAATTTCTGTCTCAACCTCCTAGGTGCTGGTATTATGGTTACACACCCATCATACCTTGCTCCCAACAAACTTCTTGATGTGTTTTTTTTTAAATGTTAGTGTCAGCCAAATATTTATTAAATGCTTGCTATTTTAGAAGAAAAGAAAAAACTAAAAAGCTTACTATTTTCTTGTGACATATGAAGAATAAAATGATACAACACAGATCTTTAATTTTGGGAACCACGAGATATGAGGGGGTGGGATGAGGAGTAGTACTTCTTTGGTGTTGAACATCCATTATCCGTTTCCTGGTTGTTTTGCTTTGCTTGTTTTTTTTTCTCTGTATTGTTACCGTGTTTTGAGGAGAAATGGCTAGAACAAAATCATTTTTATTTATGTTAGTCTCATTGGGCCGTAACCATGAAACAACTTAAAGAAAAATAAGGACATGTATGTGTGCCAGGACTGTTTAATAAATAAGAACTTGAGTGTGGTGGCTGTAAGTCACAGCTGTTCGGGAGGTGAGGAAGAGGGTGGCGTATGTTCATGAGCTTGAGGCCATCAGTGCAACCCTGACTCTCTGAACACATTTTTAGTTGTGATTGTCAGTGTCTCTCTAGCAGTGGTGTGGACAGTTAGCCCCACACCCTAGAAGCTTTGTTAGAGCAAGGGATGCCTAAGCTTCTCCTTGAGGATGGGATGTAGACTGTAGACGTTTGGATTTCTAAGATCCTGTAGTTTCTGTAGCAGTTACTCAGCTATTTCACCAGTACCCAGCTTCTGGATTCCGTCGTTTAGAGAGCACGTAGATTAAAGCTGTGGGTATGAGTGAGCCTAGCTGTGTTCCAATAAAGCTCTACGAAAGGAGGGGGCCGGCTAGCCAACCATGCTCTGTAGCATCTAGCAGAAATCGTTCAGTCATGTACTGCTGATGCCCAACAAAAACCATAAATGCTGAGGATAATTGTAAAATCATAGAGGCCTTCTAGTTTTTACAGTGTTCCAGCAAATGTCATCTGAACTCTTTTCAGGTGAAGGGTTTTGATAGATCAGTGTCTTTTAAGATGTTGGGTGGGGGTGAGGCATGATGCTGCATGCTTATGATCCCAACACTTGAGAGGTAGAGAGGAGGGCATAGTCAGTTCCAGGCCAGCTTTGAATCTATGGGACTGTATTTCCTAAATATCAAGAGAGACAGAGACAGAGGAGGGGGTCAGGGAAGGAGAAACAGGGGAGGAAGGGACTGACTGACTCTGGGGTTAGAAGAAAGCAAATGAGGTGGGCCTGGATAAACTGATTTTGACAAAATGTTGGTAACTGCTGTAGTGAGTGACGGGGACATGGGGCTTTCTTCCCCCTTTGCTCTGTCCTTCCGTGTGTTCACAGATGGTTACGGTCAAAGTCACTGCATAGCAGGAACAGCCCCTTACTACAACAGCTCCTCCTTTCTCTTCTCACACCATAGAATGGAGGTAGAGTGAGAAAGCGAGTTTCAGTTTCATCTTCAACACATCCAGGGAGCCGCCGGATCTGGCAAAGGTTGAACAGGGGAATGGAAAGACCTCAGGATGCCCCACCTGTGGCTGCAGAGCCCCAGCAAAGCCAGATGAGCACTGTGCTCCAGAATCGGTGGCTGGCCCCAGACTCCCCAGAGGCAACATTTAGTACTTTACCAAGTCCTCCAGGAAAGATTAGTTCAGGAATTAATATGTCAGGCTTCAGAAAATTCAGCTCTCATGAGCTCTTCTGTAGGGAGAAGTTTGATCGTCGGAGCTGTAAAAGCAGAAACTGTAGCTACAGAATCGGCAGCAAGCATGGAGCCCATTAATCGACAGAATTAAGACAAAAACAAATGTGGAATTTATATCCACAGAGGAGAATCTGAGTCTTTAAAGCCTCCACAGTGTGGGGAGGAGAACGAGGGACCAAAACTGTATAAACGCCTGCTTTCCACGCAGCCGCCAATGGTGGTCATCAAGGACAATCCCAGCAAGAGCGTCACATGACAAGGGTTGAGACTAGCAGGTAGGCAGGTAGGTAACTACCACCTGAACTAAACTAAACAAACAAAGACATAGAAAGCCTCAGTACTCATACTAGAGGGAGGACTTTTGTTTTAACATAAAGTATATTTAGCTATAGTTATCAAGACTCAGCATTTATCTGACGAGGACTTGTAATTTCACAAGCACTATTCTCCATGACTGAACCAATCAAAAGTTCTTGCCCCATGGGTCAGAGGATACAAGCAACAAACAAAGTAAATAATCCATCAAAAAGAATTGGATCTTCCAAAATCCAGGGGAAAGTTACAGTGTTGGATTGGGGCATACACCTGAAAGTAATCAGAAGAAGCAATGCATGAGGGGCCAGAGTAGGTGTTACCCAGCAATGACATTCAAGAAGCTAAGGGAAGAGAGGGAGCCAAACAGTCATGAAAACCAGCATTATAAACTGGAGCTTGCAATCTTCCTGCCTCAGTTTCCTGTGTTCTGGGACTGTCAGTGTGCATCACCATGCTTTACGAAGGAAACTATTTTAAAGAAGAAAGCAGCTGGGTGGTGGTGGCACACACCTTTAATCCCAGCGCTTGGGAGGCAGAGGCAGGTGGATCTCTGTGAGTTCAAGACCAACCTGGTGCACAGAGCAAGTTTCAGAACAGCCAAGTCTACACAGAAAGACCCTGTCTTGAAAAACAAAACCAATCAACCAACAAACAAACAAAAAACAAGAAAGCAGCAATCAGAATACAAACATCTCATCAGAACATCTCAAAACACAAAGATTCTTGGATACAAAGACTAGAAATCGTATGGATAGTAGTCTCCACTGTGCTAACCCATGGAATTAACATGGTCTGCCCTTACTACATACCAGAATGCTTTGTGTGTATCATTCATTTGGTTCTCATGAAGACTAACCATACCAGATACTAAAATTTGTCATAAAAATAGAACGTGGACCCAGCATGGCCACCAGGGCACGAGCAACAGATCACTGGACAGAGTAGAGGTTCAGAAATAGATTCAGTGTGGAAAATGATGATGCCCTCTGAGGTCAAGTGAAGATGGGTCGTTCACTACGTAGGACAGCCGTGCTACTGAGAGAGTAGCTGTGTTTATTTCTTAAACTCAACTGAAATTAACTCGTATGAGTCAAAAGTTTAAACCTGAAAGGCAAAACAATGTACAGACTTTCTTTCCAGTAATTTTAAATCTTTTTTTATATTTTTCTAAATATTATCATTTTAGTTACCTTTCTATTGTTCTGAAGAGACACTATAACCAAGGCAACTTATAAGAGGAAGCATTCAATGGGGACTTGTATACAGAACTCTGAGGATTAGTCCATGATCGTCATGGTGGGGAAGCTTGGTGGCACACAGGTGGAGCAGGAGCCAAAGCTTTGATCTTGCCTACACCTGCAGACACCAAGAGAGACTGGGTCTGGCTTGAACTTTTGAAACCTCAAAGCCCTCCTCCAACAAGGGCACACCTTCTGATCCTTCACAAACAGTTCCACCAACTAGGGACAAACACTCAAACCTAAGAGCTTAGGGGGCATTCTCATTCTAACCTCCCTAGTTAGCCTTACAGTCCCTACTGCCTTTAGGTGGAAGGAGGTGGGAGTTGGTGAGATTCACGTGTCTCCTGTTACAACTGAGTGATGGTGTGCATTGTTTCAGAATCCTAAATGGCTTTCGTTGTCTTGGAATGGGTTTCAGTTATTTAGTGCGTTCTTGTCTTCCTTCTGTCATACTTTTGGGGACTAGGAAAGGCAAAGGTACCAAGGAAAGATATAGCAATGCATCCAGTGCTCTTAAATTAACCTAATTTAATCCTGATACCTGAAGCCCTGGACTTGCAGCCGCGGCACTGTACTTTGAGTACGTGGCAAAGGCGTGTGGCCATGGTTTCCTTCTAATGCTGTGGGCTCAGACACTGAAGTTGCCTGTCCAGGTTTTTAATAAGGAAAGTAAACCTCAAGGGCCAGTGCCTATTCAAATACTATAAATGCACGATGCATCTTGTTCTTTGATGAAATAAAAGAAAGAGGTGCCGACCTAAGATCTAACAGAGGAAGAAGCCAGGGAATTTAGAAAGCATAATGCTCAACCAGAATTGCTTTTAAAAGTTGGGGGAAAAAAAAGATTTGTCAGGCATGGTTCTTGTTTTGTTCAATTTGAGGCAGTACCTATCTGCACGTGTGAAGAAGATGTGTTCTTTGTGATGTGGAAACACACCAAAGTGCTTATTGCCCGTAGGATGCTTGGGGTCCCTTTGGTTGCTTCCTTGCGTTATATTTTCAGTTTTTCCACGGAGTATACACAGTACTTACAGACTCAAAAGCTAGTGTTATATGGAGCACATGTGTCTCGCATTGGTCGCCCTGACAGTTGGCCTGACTTTTGTCTTGCAGGCACACCAGAGGCCGGTGTCCTGGCAGCGTGTGGGAGCTGCATACTGCAGTACGGTTGTGCCCTCTGATGGTGAGTTTTGGCAAATCCCTTTTTGTGTCTTTCTTTTCCTCCTTAGCTTGGTATTTCCAGATTTTTTTAAGTCAATACATAAACTTATTTTTAAATATGAATTGTATTTATTTTTATTTTGGGGAAGGGTATGTGCATGATATGTGCATTTGGAGGTCAGAGGACAATTTAAGGGGGTCAGTTCCGTTCTTCCGCCATGTACGTTCTAAAAATTGACCTGAGATCTTCTGGCTTTGGCATCAGGTACCTTTACTTGCTGGGCCATCCCTCCAGCCCAGCTCATTAATGTATAACCCATATCCCTTTTGTGATTCTGTCAGAGATCGGGGGGGGGGGGGGAGGGGGGGATTACAGAAGGAATGTGGAACTGAGATGAGGGTCTAGTGAGTTCAGGTTAACCACAAAAACCTAGCCTGTCCGTCATGTCTTCATAGGACCTTGTTGTTATTTCACGTTTAGAAACAAGGACCACTATTACTCGAGCGTCAGAGGAATGCCTGTTGGTATTTCCTAACTACCAGGTTTTCATATCCTGGATACCGATCAAATGTTGCTGCCCCTTCACAACATCACAGGCAGTTCCATGTCTGTGTGCCCTCTCTCCTTGTCTCTTCCCTCATGCTCAGGTATCCTCCTTCCCCCTTTTCTTTTTAAAGAATCATTTTATTTTATTTTCTGTATATGAGTATTTTGCTTGTATGTATATCTGTGTACTACCTGTATGTCTGGTGTCCATAGGGATCATAGAGAGGGTATTGGATCCCCTGGAACTGGAGTTATGAACAGTAATGAGCCTCCATGTGAGTGCTGGGAATCAACCCTAGGTCCTCTGTGAAAATAGTGCTCTTAACCTCTGAGCCACCTCTTCAGCCCCTCTGGCCCTTGTTTAGCATGGGAGGGGTTAGCAGATGCTTGGGGATCACACAGAATCCTTGGTAAATGTCCACAATGCTACAGATGGACAAGACTGAAAATTTGCTTATTTTTATGGTCGTGTGTTTCTAACTTTGACTACCATTTCTACCATGAATATCAGCTTACAGTGCTTGGCTTAGGGGTCGACTTTTAAATGCTTTTGTGTACTCCCTAGTTTGATCTTGTTCTAAATTCAACTCTATAAGCCTTGGTTCATAGACAGTATGAACTAAAAGAACATCTTGCAAATTCACAAGGATGCCAAAACTGAAGAAGCCCCAAATGAATTATGTGATCCCTGGGGTCCCCTGTATGTCATTGGTATGAGTGTCACAGTGTAAGCAGGATCCTTCCCCCAGCGCCTTTTGGTGTGCATTCTGAAGGCAATGAGCACACACTTATGCATTCAGATCAATGCAATCATTACCTAAGTGTGAACCTCAGCCTCTGCAGGAGACCCTTTGGTGGTCACTCATTTATAGAACAGAGACATTGACTGGAAGATTAGACTGAAAGCAAAACAAGAGAATTTCTACCTGGCATCTTGTTGTTCGTGTGTCCTGAAGACAAACAGCTGCCAGAGAAATACTAGTATATGTAAGTTAAAGGCAGCTGGGGCACAGGCCTGTACCCCCAGTCAAGACTTAGTACCAGTGTGCACCAGATTCCAAGCTTGTCATGTGGCCTAGAGCCAGAGGTCCATAATACCACCTGCTCCCTTCTCTCCTATCATGAATTTCCTATCAAATTCATGACCTCTTTAAATGTGATTGTTTTACACACACACACAATCACCCTACTGAGTCCATTGAGTGTGGTTCATATGTACATGTGTTAAGAGTTGACCACCTGGGGTTAGACAACCCATTAGGGAAGCTTTGTCCCAGGAGAAAATTGATTCTCTCAGCAGCCCGTAGTTACCGGTAGCTCTTCATCCTAGCCCTGGGGCCTGTGAACTTTCTCCTGTCCGTGTTGGTGTGTTACCTGGTGTTCTAACTATGTAGGACTTGGTTAGGTAGAGATATTGTTGAGTTCATGGATGCAGCTTCCTTGCCATGTCTAGAAAACCCTGTTTAGCAGCAGCCAGAGCAGGGAGGTGACATTTATGTTCTTACTATCAAGTTCTACATATACACATCACATGAGATTACACACTACAATGCAGGGATACCAAGCTGTTTTAGCAAATGTAAGAAACAGTTTCCAGAGCCGATGGACGTGCAGGCCTTGCCTGGACAGGATTGACCTCCATCAGAGTCACTCCTCTGCTGGTTTGACGTCTGAACACCAGTTGTCACCTTTTGTACCTCTCACAGCCTCAGGTAATTAAGTACATATATCACATATCGAGTACATATCACACACATATCGAGTACATGTATATCAAGTGCATATACCATATGTTGGGTATATATGTTACATATCAACTACTTATACCACATACTAGGTACATATATCACACCAAGGACAGATATCACATATTGAGTACACATCTTTTATTTTAACGTTAAAAAGAGGTGTGACCATCCAAAAGGACAATAAGGAAGCTGCTAATCATGAAGGTGACAGACTACAGAGCCTCTGGGTTTAACCTGACCAGGAACTCACTTCCTAAATGAATGTTGTGAAAATGAAGTGCTTTATATTTTTCTATTTAAAAGATGTGTCTGACAATTTGGACTTTTTTGTAAACTGGGGTTTCAGTTTGAATCCTTACTCAATTGTGAAGTAGTCTTATTGCACCATAGAACCCCTTTCTTGAAGGGTTTGGTAAGCCTGGAGTTCCACATTGCTGCGGACGCCCATGTCACAGCCTTACGTGCTGACAGTGTATGTGGGGCTTAGCCTGGAGGAGAAGCAAGCCTGCCAGATTTCAGGTGATGGCGTCCGTTCCAGGACTGCAAAATTTTCAATATGTTGAGGGAATTAGGAACTCTCATTTCTCTCCCAAATGCAGCTTGATGTGATGAAATAACTGCTCTAAGCAGTTAGTTCCTGGTTTTTCTGTTGATACCCATGCTGAGTCCAAAAAAAAAAAAAACCCTAAATATGTGTGTCTGGTGGAAGCTGGAAGGGCTTTCTTTCACTGTGGATGGCTACCAGCGTGTTTGAAGAAACATTCAATTTCTTTGCTAAAAGAACCACTAGGGAGGGAAACGACTTTTTTTTTTTTTTTAATGTAAGGAAGATCTTGGTATTCGGCACAGATGGCACATTCTCCCTACTTTGCAACACAGATACTTAGCTTGCCAGGCAGCAAGCCACGCTGCCCATTGCAGTAGCATATGCCTTATTCCTTGGCCTCATGCTGGCTCTGAAGTCTCCTCACAGGCCAGAATGAAATCTGGCTTCCTTGCACAGGTGTCCATGCCATGAGAACAAGGTTTTTGTTTTGTTTTGTTAGCCACAAAGAAGATCAAAATATAAGTTTCTTTTCTAAGGCTTTGGCTGGGAATTCATATTTAGGAGGTGAGAGATGAAAACAGGAAATACTTACTCATGCCTGGACTTACCCAGGAATATTTGGGACTCCGTGATAAGTGTGCGATCTTCTTGTTTGACTTCACAACCATTGTTCCTGGTTTGCTGTGCAGCTAAGCTGTCTCCGAGTTAGGTAATGAGACCAGGATGAGCGTGGAGGAAGTATCTCTGTAGAGCATCATGGGAGAAAAGTCTGCCAGTTGGTCTGCAGGAGCTCAGAAAAACCACAGAGCTCTGAGAATCACCTCCATTCAGAAAACCTCAAACTGAGATGAGTTTGTATCCTCCCCCACCGTGACGTGGTGTCACACGGTGGTAAGACTGTAAGTCCGAGAGTAGCAGAGTCCTCGGGCTCCCTGCACCAGCCTGTCCTCTGTCACATGGCCGAGCAGGCGGCACGTGTTTGCATTCCTTCCACACACCTTAGCAGGGCTGCTTTGTCACAGTCTCCCACATCAAAGAGCAAGGCACACAGTCTTCAGTGCCAAAGAGGACATTCGAGTTACCAGGTTTGGAAGCCAGGCCCTTGAGTAATGTCCTTGTTTGTTTGAGTTTTTGTGTTGTTTTTGTTTTTGAGACAGGGTTCCTTTCCAGGCCCAGGCTGGCCTTGAACTCAATACAGGGATTACTGCCGCCAGGAGCCGTTGCATTGTACCTGGGCCTTTGCTTTCTTTATTCCCGCCAAATAATAGCAGCCTCAACATGATCCTTCATATAGAATAGAATTTTACTAATTTAAATTTTTTGGATTTTTAAATTTTGTATGATTTATTTCTTTTTAAAAAACAGGAAATGTTCATTATTTTGCTTTGAAATGAGAAAAATGCAGCTTTCTTAAGCATTATTTTTCAAACAGGCACTTAGTTGCCACTTCCGTAATAAATTATATGTAAAAGTTATATGTGCAAATTGTTTAGATTTTTTTTCCCCCAGAAAACTTAGCTAAAGAAATCTACATTTCATCAGGTTCTCAGAGGTCAATTAATCAAAATGTTAAGAAATGCTGGCTGAAGTTGTATAACATAGTGTCTGAAAACAGCCAGGGCTGGAACAACAGTGTGGGCAATGAGAACGCTCACTGCTCCTGCTCCCACTCCTTGCCCCTTCTCCATTCTCTGTTCCCTTCTCTTCCCTTCCCCCTTCTCTACTCTGTAGTCCACATAGCCTGGGACTCGTGGTTCCCACTGGCCTTGAATTCAGAGCACTCTTCCTACCTTAGACTCCAGGTGCTGGAATTGGAGGCGTGAACCACAATGCCTGCAGGCTCTGCTGGTGTTTTTCCCGTTCATGTTTTAGTTTTCTAGCCTATCACGAAGTCGGAACCGCAGAGGCAGCCTTTTCACATTGGCCTCCTTCACTTAGTAATAGTCTAGGAAAAGCAAAAATAACGACATCTTGAATTTTGCAGACTAATGGATGGAACTAGAAAACATCATTTTGAGTGAGGTAACCCAGACCCAGAAAGACAGTTATCCTATGTACTCACACGTAAGTGGTTTTTAAACATAAAATAGAGAAAACCAGCCTACAATTCACAATCCTAGAGAACCTAGACAACACTAAAAATCCTAAGAAAGACATACATGGATCTAATCTACATGGGA